CCCCCCCATCCCACCTGTCCTCTCACTGTCTCTGCCAGAGCCATGGAGGAGGCAGAGAAGGTGACCAGCACCTACCTGGACAATGGCACGCACCCGGCCCCAGGTGAGGCCCCGGCCAGGCCCCACCCCGCCTGCGTGCCCACCTGCCCCTCCACCGCCCCTGGGGCTGCCTGACCGTCTGTGTCTGTCTGTCTCCCCCACCAGACTGGGCGCAGCTCGATTCCGACTCATCTCTGTTTCCTTAAAGCCCACGCGTAGGTGCTCACAGGCGCGTGCTGAGAGTGAGTGTGTGAGCGGATGAGCGAGTGGCCGCCCCGCCCCGCACCCCCAGCGGTCAGACGGGCCCCTCGGTCCCTCCTCACCCTACCCGTGTGGCCTGCCCAGCACCACCAGGCGTGGCCCACCTGGGGCCCACCGCTCTTGGCTCTCCTCGCAGACCCTGACTGCAGGGGGGACGACCCCGAGGGCCAGGAAGCGGAGACTGAGCACTTCCTGTGTGCCACCTCCACGGGACGCCGGGTCTCCTTCAACGAGGCGGCCCTGTTTGAGCAGAGCAGGAAGGCACAGGACAAGGGCCGTCGGTAAGGGGCGGGTCCTCGGGGGTCACCCTGTGCAGCTTAAGGGGGGCCCTCGGGGGCTGCCCCGTGCAGGGCCGGGTCTGGTGACCATTGCTAGGTGAGCAGCTGAGGCCTTAGGTGGGGCTTGTGGGTGGCACTGGCCTCTCTCGGGCGCTCGGTCCTGCTCTGCCCTGCCCGGACCTGGCAGGGGGGCCAGGAAGGCTGGCAAGGGGCTTCTGGGGTGGGCTGCAAACCCCCCGCGGGCCGGCCCATGCACTGACGGGTGCCGTGGCGCAGGTACACGCTGACGGAGGGCGACTTCCACCACCTGAAGAACGCGCGCCTCACCCACCTGCACCTGCCTCCCCTCAAGATTGTCACCATCCACGAGTGTGACTCGGGTGAGGCCAGTGCAGCCGCCACCCCCCATCCCGCTGCGCCCCCCAAGACCAGCCTCGCCATATTCCAGGTGAGTGTGGAGAGTGTGGCAGCCATTACAGGCTTGTGGGCAGGATCCCACCATCACCGCCACGGAAGGTGGCACGTTCCGTGTCAGGCCCAGACTTCATCCCGGGACGGGGAGGGCACTGGCTGGGTGCACGGTGGGAGGCGGGTCCCCAGTACACCCCAGCACCCACCTGTGCTCTTTGACCTGTCACTGCTTCCTCCCCTACCCTGACTCTGTCCCACAGCCCCCGGGGAAGGCCCTCACCGGCCGCTCCGTGGGCCCCAGCTCCGCCCTGCCAGGTGACCCCTACAACTCGGCCACGGGCACCACTGACTTCCAGATCAGCCCCTCACCGTCCAGTGACTCTGGGGAAGGCACTTCGGTGAGGCCCCCACCCCTCCCCGCCCCGCTGCAGGATAAGGTCAGCCTGCGCTCTCCTGCCCGTGACAGTTCTCTTGACCCGTGGAGAGACCCCCACAGGGGAGGAAGGGGAGCCAGGAGGCTCAGTCTTCACACCTGGGAGCCCCCTGTGTCCAGGGTGGGGGAGAACAGAGCTGCCCCCCCCATAGCTGAGTCCCTGGGCTTGGCATAGTTCTCCCCTCCCCCCAGCCGAGGTGCCATCCCGCTTCAGTGCCCACCGGTGATGGCCGGCGCGTAGCCTGTGGCTGACACCCAGCGCAGAGCCTGGGCTTCGGCACCCGCAGGGCCGTGCGTGCCCCAGAGCTTTCCTCTCCCCTCCCCGCTGGTCATGGGGGCCCGGGCACGAAGCCTGGCGGGCTGGGGCCTTGGCAGGGCCCAGAGACACGGGCCCAGGCTCGGGCTCTCCCTGTCCTGCAGTTCTTCACCCGCCTGCGCAGGCATGCCAGCCTGGATGGGGCCAGCCCCTACTTCAAGGTCAAGAAGTGGAAGCTGGAGCCCAGCCAGCGGGCGTCCAGTCTGGACACCAGAGGTGAGCTGCGGGCCCCGCAGAAGCAGGGTCGGAGGGCTGCCTGCGCGACCCAGCCGCCCAGTTGGTCCGCAGGACCCGGCCTGTGGTGCCCCGGGGGCTGCGTGGGAGGCTGGCGGCCTGTGCCAGCGGCGTCCCGGGGCTCTTCCGCTTCCCCTGGCGTCAGGCGAGGCTGCTGTGACTGGCGAAGGGATTGGCCAGCCCTCTCGTAAGCAGCAGCCAGGGCTGGCTTTGGCTCTGTGGTGAGACAGCCGTTCTGACGTGGAGGAGCCGTAGACAGCGTGAGGGCGTGCGCCGAGGCCGCCGGGAGCCCACGCCACGGCCCCCGGTCATGTGGGGCCTGGACACCGGCTTCCTCGCCCTGGTGTGGGTGGGGGGAGGCGGAGCCCTGACGGGCCGAGGCTGCCTGTAGTCAGGCCGGGTGCTGGGCGCCGGCCCTCCTGGGGAGGGGCCGGTGGCCCCGGCGTCAGGACACGGAAGGATGTGCCGGTGCAGGCGGCTCGGCGGGCGGGTGGGTTGGCTCCAGCCGGAGCAGGGAGGGAGAACCTCGCCTGCTGTCCGCTGTGATTCCCAGGGGTGATTACAGGCTGAAGTGGGTGCAGAAGCACACAGAACCTGTTTGCTGGGTGACTGTTCTCCCCACCCTGAGGGCTCCCCACCCCACCTTCTCCCAGGCCCCCATAGTGGGAGGGTCCTGGCCACTGGCCAGCCAGCCCACAGGTGGGGGTGAGGCCGTCTCTGGGCACTCGCCACGCCCTGGCAGATGTGGGGGGACAAGGCTGTCCCCCCCTTCCCTGGCACCCCCACCGCCTGTCCTCCATCCCCACACGCCCTCGCCTCTGTATGTAACCGGGCTGTGCCTGCGATCCCTGCTCCCCTTGTCTGGTGCAAGTCCTCGCTGCAGCCACACTCGTCTGTCCAGGCCCCTGGCTCGACCTTGGCACCTCAGCTCACACCTGCCGTAGCCGCTGCCCTCTGCCCATTTCCCCCTGCACAGCAGGGTACGTGATCCTCTGGCCAGGGCAGTGCCTGCTGGCAGGTGAGGAGAGGCCCGGGGCTGGCAGGCTGGCCAGGCTGACTGCCTTCCTCTGCACAGGCTCCCCCAAGCGGCACCACTTCCAGCGGCAGCGGGCGGCCAGTGAGAGCATGGAGCCGGAGGCGGACGCCCCCCGGGCGGACTTCATCCAGTACATCTCCAGCTCGGGCGACGCCACGGCCTTCTCGCTGCCCCGCCCCTTCGTGGCCAGCCCCACCAGCCCGTCCCCCGCTCTCGGCAGGTATTTTTCAGTAGATAGAGGTGCTAAGGGTGGACCTGTGGGCCCCTGCCCCACCTGTTCCCCCTAGGTGGCCCAGGGAGCGCGCTTCACGCCCTGCAGACAGGCGGTCGAGGCCCCCCAGCTCCACCGTCCTTCCCAGAGGCTGCCTCGCTGGGGCCACCTCTCCAGCATGGACCAAAGGCGGGAAGCAGGGGTCACTGGGTAAGGGCAGCGGGGCGGGCAGGACTCCAGGCGAGGGCCCCGGTCCCCAGGACAGGTGACCCGCAGGGCAGGGCCACGGTGGGTCGTCAGGACACTGCTGTTCTGCTGGAGCCCGAGGCCTGAGGCCCAGCCCTGCCCTGGGCCCCTGCGAGCTGGAGCCCACCCCTCAGCCCCAGGGCCACTGGGAGGCGGCCCCCAGGCGTGTGGGGTGGGGGCCTGACCCAGGGAGCTGAGCAGGATCCCCACTGGGGGGCACGTCCTGGTGGTCAGCCAGGTGGTCCTGGTGGCCTCCTGGCTCCCTAGCAGTCCGGGTCGGAGGGCAGGGCAGGTGGCTTCCCTGAGTCCCTGGGTGGTGGAGCTGGGCTCAGACCGACCTGCGGCGTCCGGAAGCCGTGGCTGACCAGGACCTGGGGGAGGCCGCGGTCACACCAGCAGCTCCGGGCCGCAGGCTGTCAGAGAGGCCGTGGCTGGAAAGGGCTCACCCAAGCAGCAGCCCCTGCGCGAAGGCGCGAAGGCGGCGGCGTCTGAGAAGCCACTCATCTCCCCCGGCCTGGCCAGGGCCGAGGGCCGAGTCCTGGCCCGCACCCACCCTCCCCTACCCGAGGCAGGGTGGGGGCGGGAGGGGGGCGCTGCGCAGCCTGCTCACAGCCGGGCCTGGCTTTCAGGCTAGGGGCCGCGGAGGAGGCCGGCGCTGTGGCAGAGGGCGGCAGCCCCGAGTCCCCCCCGCAGCGCGGAGGCGACGAGGGGCCTGAGCAGCGGCAGGAGCCCGAGGCGGGGCAGGAGCAGGCCCAGACCATCTACCGGGACATCTGGAGCCTGCGGGCCTCGCTGGAGCTGCACGCGGCCGCCACCTCGGACCACAGCAGCAGCGGCAACGACCGAGACTCGGTGCGCAGCGGCGACAGTTCGGGTTCAGGCTCCGGGGGCCCCGCGCCCACTTTCCCACCACCCTCGCCGCCGCCCACGCCGC